AGCTCACTAATTAGCTGCCAGGCAGGGCTCAACAGCCCTCTCCCGCTGCCATAAACTCTGCTTGCTTGATTGATTACGTTCGGGCTGCGTGGCATTTGTTCCCAGGGACAGGCTGCCACTGGGTATGGTGGGAAGGGACTGCCCTGGACAGGGCTGTGGGGCGGGACGGTCCTCTTTCTGGGCCAGCAGAGGTCGAAACCAGGTCTTGTCTGACCCATGGGAGGAGGTGGAGAGAGGGGCCAGAAGGCCTCCCCTCCCCCAAGCACACTCTCTCTGACACCGAGCCCCAGGTGACTTCCGGAGCTGGCTCCCCACAGGGCCGTGGCCGTGGCTGCGGGTCCCCAGGCCTGCTGGTCCTCTGAGCCATCAGGAAGGAAGGGCGGAGGTGACAGCCCATCCATCTCCCTGAGCCCAGTGCAAACACCAACCAACCGGGCCCAGGGCGAGGCGGGTGAGGCCCAGGGAGGGTGGCCCCAGGTCCCTCCCCGTGACGCTGGGTCCTGGCAGCACAGGGCCAAGGCCCCAGGACACCCCACCCCCTTTCAGTGGCTGCCTGTGGCCAGCAGAGCCCATGGGGGTCGTGCCCGAAGCTGGGAGATAGGCCCCTCCCCGCTCCTGTGGGTTCTCTCTGTGCGCGGCCACAGCCCAGGGGTCCAATTCTCCAGCCCCCTGACCCCCAAGAAAATGACCAACACTGGTTCCCAGCAGGCGCTTAGGCCCCCTGGGGATTGACTCTGGGAGGCAGAATCCTCAGCTCCCCCCTGAGCACAGAGAGCCAGGGCGCGGACAGCGGTTTATTGTGTAAAGTGGCCGATTGTACACAGCAGAGATTGTACTGACACAGGAGGGGTGAGGGAGGCCAGAGGCCAGAGCCTGGAGGCCGGAGGGGAGGCCGGAGGGGTGGCGTCCTGCCCCCCACAGGTCCTCCAGGCAGTGGGTGGGGGTGGGGAGGACTGAACAGCTGCCCCCTCCTTGTTCCCTTTGCCCCCATTACTGGACATAAGATGGGGCCAGGCTGTATCCACTGACCAGGAAGAATATAGCAGGATACCTCGACACCCCATGCCAAGCCCCTAAAATGCATGGGGTCCCCCAGCCTGGCTTTTGCAGCCAGCCAGCCAGCTCCCAGCCTCCTCAAGCCCCCAGGCCACACACCCTCCGCCCTCAGGCCCTGGCCGCGAGCCAGGCCGCACAGGTGGCTTCCAGTAGGAGGTAAGACACCTCACTGCCCAGGGGGCCCAAGAAACAGCCCACGGCTCCCTTTTAGGCAACGCAGAGGGCACAGGAGGCCTCAGTGAGCGGCAGGGAGCTGGGCGGGCACCAAGTCAGCTTAGAGACAGGCCTTGAAGGGGAGCAGAGGGAGGTGGGGCTCTGGCCAGGGAGACAGGATGCTCCAGGAGTGGGCGGGGGGAGTTCGGGGAAGGTCAGAGCCGATCCCCAACATCCCAGCCATAGGGGCCTCCGGGAGCTGCCACCCAGGGCTCCGTCACTCTGCCAGCCCCCCGCCCTGATCATAGTAAGTTAAAGCTCAGAACGGTCAGTGAGTCGAGGTGGGGGAGGAGGATGGGAGGACCGGGGCCCCCGACACTCTCCCGGCCCCTGTTCCTTGTAGATTTCCATCCTCACACCCGCTGGATCTCAAACAGCTTCACGTCAGTGTCATACCAGACAGGCGGGTCCACATTCCTGCGGAGGGAGTGGGCTGGCACTGGGCACTGGGAGGCCTCGCAGTGATACCGCCCAGACCCCTCCCGCCCCAATGCCCGTCCCAATGCCCACCCCATGCCCCACCCTGGACCCTGGGTACCCACCCTCAACCAGACAGGACCACCCCCGTTAACTGTCTTGACATTAACCATTAACCCCACTACGATGGGGGACCCAGTGCTGAGACCCCAATGAGCCCCACTGGGCAGACCCGCAGGGGGGGACGCCAGACCCACCCAGCCGGCAGCTGCCCCATCCTCCCGGCGCCCACCTCAGGTAGATGACGCCCCACATGTAGGTGCGGAACCACATGGCCGTGCCCGCGTTGGCCTGGTACTTCCGGATGAGGATGGGGTGGGGCACGGGCAGCAGCCCCACCAGGGTGCCATGCTGCAGGAACCGCAGGATCTCCGACTCGTCCGTCAGGCCCCTGCCAGGGATGGGGTGTCTCCAACACGCTCACGTGGGAAGCCCACCAGGCAGGTCAAGGGGAGCAGGGGGCTCACCCTGTCCCGCAGCCCCACCCTCACCCCCAGAGCCTCACTTGTCAATGCAGATCTTCTCCACCTGGGGCACCAGCACCTGCAGCAGCCGCATGATGGTCTGCAGCGGCAGCTTCGCCTTCCAGGAGAGGACCTGGGGGCGGGAGGGGACAGGGCTCCTGGGGCTGGGGAGCCTGACCCTGACCCTGACCCAGAACTGCAGGCGCCCCAAGGCCAGGCGTGTCCCAGGTCACACAGCCAGGCCTGGACGGGCCGCGCCCCTGAACAGTGACCGTCCTTCATGGTCAGCGTGAGCACCTACTACATGCTGACCCTGTCCCCTCGGACCCTCACAACGGCAGCTCACAGGAGTGTTTACACCCCCATCAGCGCCATGAGTGTGGCCTCAGGATGCACAGGGATGGGCAATCCAGGGGGGAGCTGGAAGCGCGACCCAGTAGGAAAATTAGTGCTGTGGGCAACGGAAGCTCCCCCCGAGGCAGAGGGAGGCAAGGACACCGGCCAGGAGGACTGGTCCCGAGTCGGAGACTTGGACACCTTCCCACCGAGGCTTTATTGAGCTGTGGCTAGTCCCAGGGCCCCTGACCCAGTCCCCACGTGGGTGCCACCAGCCCAAACCCTCACCCACTCCGACGTGGGGCTCCACTGCCCACTGGCTGACGCGCTGGACAGTCGCCGCTGCTCCCGCCACGTCTGACTGGGCTCCTGGTCCCAGGAAAGGGGTGGGAGTGAGGTGGGAGGCATGGGTACAGGGTGAGGGCAGAGGACAGAGGGCAGAGTAGCGGCCCCTCTTCCAGCCCATCCCACCGTTTGGAACCCGGGAGGGCAGTGGGATCTCCCCACTGGCCCGGGAGCATGGGGGACTCACTCCCACCTGAGGGCCAGCCCAGCCCCGCACCCTTTGCCCTGGGCCCTGGGCCCCGGGCCCTGCCCTACCCAGCCGAGCTGGTGACAGGTTTAGGGTAAAGGTCAGACGGTCTCAGATAAGGCTGATGGATGAGGAGTCTGAAGGCCAAGGGCTAAGCCCATGACCAATAAAAAAGGGAGGGTCTGGGAAAGCCCCCCCCCCCAGGGACTCAGCGGGGTGCCTGCCGCGCTGCTGCGGGTGACCCAGGCTGCCCAGGCCGGGCCCCACCTCTGAGGCCAGAGCCCCCTCGCCCACCTCCTCAGCTGGACTGCCGTCCGCAGAGCTCTCGGGGGGCACAGGCTCCAGGGACCGCAAGGTGCCATCCTCAGACACCTGGGACTTCTCCGTCAGCTTGTCAATGCCTGGGGGGCCAGGTGGGCGTGAGGACCCCTGCCCACTGCCCTCCCAGCAGCATCCCCACAGGGCCCCGCCCCCTCCCCTCGAGGCTCCCAGAGCCCACACCCAGGCGTAAGGTCCGTACCCCACTAAGGCAGTGCCCCTCTGGACTCCAGCATCTCTGCCCGCCCCGCCGCCTCAGCTGCCATCCACACCGATTCAGTTTCCCATGCCCTTTGCCAGAGATGGGGTGACACACCCCAAAGACCCTGTCCAGCCCCCACCCATGCCGGTGCCCACACCCTCCGCCACCCGCCAGCACCAGACCTGGGGTGGCCACCAGGCTGGTCTTGAGGGTGCCCGGCTCGGCGGGGGCGGCCGGGCGGGAGCCCTCCATGGAGGCGCCCTCCTGGGAGCTGGTGCGGGACAAGGGCTCGGGCGCTTTCCGGCGCCGCTGCAGGGCCTTGTGGATGGCGGGCGGGTCGGTGGGCAGGTTGGCCAGCTGGTGGAAGACGCTGCGCTTCCGGATGATGGCGTAGACCAGGTTGGAGTTGCCTGTGGGGAAGGAGCACCATCTCACAAGAGGAAACGGAGACTCAGAGAGGTTATGCCAAGGCCCTAATCTACACCAGGCAGCCCGGCACCTGTGACACCCATCCAGGTCCTGCCAGTCAGAACGTCCCTCTCCCCAGAGTAAGATGATCTGTCCGTGTGGCCATCTGTTTAGAGCCGCCCTCCCCCTCCATCCCAGCTGTGAACGCCACGGGGCAGGGAGCAATCTGCTTGGTTCTCCACCGCGTCCTCCGCACCCAGCACAGGGCTGGGTACACAGCAGGCGCTCAATAAATGCACGTTGGAC